AAGGAGAATGACATCCTTATCTGGATCTATAACATGATCGACGAAGCAGCCAGAGTGGACTTCGAATTCTTCCTAAAAGACGGATGTATTTTGTGCAAGTAAAGTCTAGATGAATTTATAAAGTTCCCCCTGTATTTCCTGTTTTTTTTCTTTTCTTTTTCTTTTTCTTTTCTTTCTTCTTTTTTCTCTTTCTTTCTTTCTTTCTTTTTCTTCTTTCCTTTCTTTCTTTCTTTCTTCTTCTTTCTTCTTCTTTCTTTCTTTCTTTCTTTCTTTCTTTCTTTCTTTCTTTCTTTTTCTTTTTTTATATTGCTGTTTTATATAATTTTTCGTGGTGTTGAATGCATTGGTTGCTTATATATCGTTTCTTGTGTTATTATTATTGTTAATATCATTATTATTATCATTATTATGATTATGATTGATCATTATTATCATTATAAGTATGATTGATATTTGATGTTTGTATCATTATTATTATTTTTTTATCATTATATTATTGTTATTTTTATTGTTTTGTTATTATTATTATTGTTATCATTATTATTATTATCATCATTATTATTATCATCATCTTCATCATTATCATTATAACTATTATTATCATAATTATTATTATTATTATTATCAGAGGTAGTTATAGTAGTTCTGCTACTGCTACTTCTAATTTTACTGCTACTGCTACTATTATTGGTGATACTATCGTTGTTATTAGTATCGTTATTGTAACTGTTAACAATATTGCTGTTACTGTTATTGTTGTTTTAATTATTATCAGTTCTTGTTATTAGTATTGAGATTTTTATCATCATTATTATTATAGTTATTTATTATTATTATATAATATCATTGATTATTATATCATCATTTTTATATATTATTCATCATATTATTAAAACTGTTGTTTTTATTAATACTTATATTATCATTTCATTATTATTTATTGTATCATTATAATTGTTATTAATATTACTTATCATTATCATCATTATGCTATTGTAATTGTAACAATAATAGCAGGAGCAATAATGATAATAATAATGATCATGATAATAATGATGATGATGGTGATAATGATAGTAATAATAACAATAATGATAATGATAAATAAGAACAATAAGATGATTATGATAGTATATGATAATGATTAGTATAATAGTAATGATAACAGTAATAACTATATAGAATAATGATAATAATAGTGATGATAATAGTAATGATGATAATAGTAATGATAATGATAATAATGAGGAAGAGGAGAATAATAATAATAATAATAATGATAATGATAATGATAAAGGAAATACTAATGATAATAATATTAAAAAGATAAAAATGATAATCAATTGTAATTATCATTACAATAATCATTCTTATTGTTATTATTGTATTTTTTTTGTTATAACCATAGTTATTATTATCAGTACTATTGTTGTCATTACTATCACAGTTACCATTACCATTGGTTTAATTATCATTATCTTTAACATTTTTGTTTTTTTGCGGTCGTTGTGTTGTTTTCACTTTTATGATACAAAGAATTAGTGACAGTTGTAGCTGTAAATTAAAATATTATTATTAAACTTTCAACTTACGTAATAATATTAAATTGTGTAGAAAACGATTGCTCAGTGGTCCATAATGTTCTTAACACACAAACATATGATGCATGTCAACTTTTCAAAGCTGTCATTAAATAATGTACTTTTTTGACAATATTCTTTGTTGCGTTTTTGTTTTTCTCGTTGTCGCTTCTTTTAAATATGTTTTTCTCTTATTCTACACATTCGCTTCTTTTCCCCATTTAACTTATTCGTCTCATTCCATTCTTATTATCTATGCGCTCTTCCTGTTCTCTCTTTCTCACACTTATTCTCTCTCATCTCTTTTTCCTGTAAACTCGCGCAATTTTGGCAACGTGGCAACCGTTTTTTCGAAGCCGCCAACCCAACCCGGATATATAAATAGCGCGGAAGCACAGCTGTTGCACATGGTCGCCGAATACCGAGCTGCATGCGGAAAATTTGTGCAAGTTGAATTCTTGTATGATTGCGCCAAGGGACAGGCTTGTTACCGTTTATGGTGTTTCCGTTGATTCTTTTTTCTTTTTTTTTGCACTTGTTGGATTATTATACTTGCTGGTATTAATTGTATCATTGGTGGTGATAGTATTGCTGTAGTTGCTGATCACTACTATCACTGTTATAATAATTTTATTAGTGAGCGATGTTAGTGATTGCTATTAGTATCATTATCAATAATGTTGCGATAAGTATACTTTCATTGGAGATATTCATTATTATAATTACATTTGTTTTCTCCAATCGCATCATAATTACTATTATTATTATTATCATTATTGATATTGTTATTTTTATCATCATTATTATTGTTATTATTATCATCCTTATTATCATTATGATTATTGTTATTATTATCATCATTATTATTATGATTATTGTTATTATTATTATTATTATTATTATTATTATTATTATTATTATTATTATTATTATTATTATTATAATTATTATTATTATTATGACTATTATTATTATTATTCTATACGAGAACGCTGTATTGAAATAGTTAGACCCTCACTATAAATACATTCATTATTTACACGACCATCTGTGTGGGGATTTTTAGAAGGAATGTATAAGAAGGGGAAAGAAATACGGAGAAAAAGGTGTAAGAAAGATGATTTTTTAGCGAAAAGGGAAAAGGGAATTTGGAAAGGAAAAGGGAAGGAAGGGAGAGGGATTCAGAGGGGGGGGGGAAGAAGAGAGAGAGAAGGGGATAAGAGATTAAAGGAGGTGAAAGACTTTAAAAGAAGAAGAGAAGAGGAGTGGGAGTTAGCTGATGTATGACGGACAGCGGGGGGGGGGGGAGGAGTGAATGTAAGGAAAAAAATTGGGAATGGTGTGGTTGAGTGGAAAAAGGCGAAAATAGAGAGAGAGGAAGAGGGGAGACGAAAGTTAGAAGAAGGAGAGTGAAAGAAGAAAAGAACCTCTAATTTTAGCTTTATGTTTTTTTTTATTAATTCCGTAGAATTTCCACGGGTCTCGCTAAGTGTTGCTGTCATGTTATTGTCATTATCATTATCATCATTATTACCATCATTTAATGTTGCTGTTGTTGTTTTTATCATCATTATTGCTATTGTTATCATTATTGTTGGTATTATTATTTTTGTTATTAATATTATTTTACGGCATTATCTTTAGTGCTTTTATTATTACTGTGGTTGTTATTGTCATTAATATTGTTGATATAGTTAATATTGTTAATATAATAACATAGTTATCAAGTAATTTGATTATTTTACATTAGGTGTGGCGTGTGTATAAATTAATAAACGAAACACGAGCAGCAGCATTGTTTACATAAATGTGCATGTGCATGTCCGTATAAATGCATATCTATACATCATTTATATACATATGTGTGTGTGAGTGTGTGTGTGTGTGTGTGTGTGTGTCCATCTATGTATATGTGTATATATAGGGGTATATATATATTTAATTTCTATGTTCCCACAGGTTGATGAACCGAATAAAACTATTCATCCATCAGTCTACATGTGTATGTATATATATATATATATATATATATATATATATATATATATATATTATATATATTAATATATAGGTATTGTATTTAATTTCTATGTCCCACAGGCTGATAACCGCAAACTATTCATCCATCATCTGTATGTGTTATATATATATAGGTATAATGTATTTATTGTTTGTCCCCACAGGCTGATGAACCGCATAAAACCGGGTAGCATTCCGGAGGACAGCATCACGTGGGAGGGCGCTCGGAGCAAACAGCAGAACATCAAGAACTTCCTCGAAAATGCGGAAGCGTACGGCGTGCCCAAGGAGAAGCTCTTCCACCCTGAGGATCTGCTCCACTTGCGCAACGTCCCCCGGGTGACCAGGTGTATCTACGCCCTGGCGAAGTGGTGAGAGTTGGAGGGTGGAGAGGGGTAGGGGTGGGGTCGCGGGAGGGGGTGGGTGGGCAGAGGGGGGGACGTGGTTCGTACGCCTTGGCGAAGTTGGTGAGAGATTCGGAGGTGTGAGGTGTGAGGGCGGCGAGGAGGGACGTGGTTCGTTGGGCCGTGGAGGGTGTGAGAGCCGAGGGTGCGGGTGAGGGTGGTGTTCGAGCGGGGGTCGTGGAGGGGACGTGGGGGGAGGTTGTGGGGGTGGTGGGTGTGGTGTGGGTTGGTGGCAGGGGGGGGGACGTGGTTTGTTGGGCCGTGGAGGGTGTGAGAGCGGTGCGGTGTGAGAGCGGGTCGGGTGGGGTGGGGGGGGTGGGTGGTGGGCGTTCTTCGTTGGGTCCGTGTTTTTTCCCCTAATTTCTTTTATTATTCTTTCATCTGGCCGCGTGTTTTTCTTATTTTTTTCAGTTTTCTTTCTTCTGCGTGCGTGTGTGGGCATATTTTAAGAAACTGGGATATATAAGAATGATGGGGAATATGATAAGTAAAAGTTGAAATAAAGGAGTTATAGATTTTGATAAAGGGTTCATTGGCATCATAATAAGTTCACGTTTAATGTTTTGGACTACCGTTTTTTCTGCTTGTATTGAGTGTTTTTTTATGTCTTTAATATATCTTTAATTATTTCTTTAATTTCTTTTTATTTCTTCTGTTTTCGTCTCCATCGTCTCTCTAGTTTAATAATTATGATATCAGTTTATATTATTATAAACCAATAGTAGTACAATAGTAGTAGTAGCACCGGTAGTGATATTTCTTTAGTATCAGTACCATTGTTGTTACCATATATCATTGTTGTTGTTGTAAATCATTTGTTAATAGTTTTATAATTATTGTTATCATTATTGTTGTTATTTATTGTTATTATCATTATTTCTATTTGTATTATCATCACCATCATTATCATTAATGGTAGTAGTAACAGGACTTATTGTTATTATTATCATCATCATTATTATTATTATTACCATCATCACTATTATTATTATTGTTATTATATTATTAATACTACTACTACTACTACTACTACTACTAGTAGTAGTAGTAGTAGTAGTATTATTAAACCACTTCGTTTTCACCTCCCCGTGGAAACAAATAGCTCCTTGTTGAAACTGCCATAAAAGACTCACCCTATCATCTACAATCTCCCTTTCCCCAACCCTCCAGGTGGCGCAGGACCCCAACATGGGCGCTGACTGCCCCAAGCTGGGAGACGAGCCGAGCTTCATGAAGGAACAGAAGAAGAAGATCGACGTGCCTGGACACAGAGACACGAAGGACGTCCTGGCTCAGCTGACGACCGCGAAACCCAAGGAGGAGAAGAAGACGACCAAGCACTCGCTGTATAAATGAGGGAGAGGGAGGTGGAGAATGAAGAAGAATAGAGGAGTGAAGGAGAGAGAGGTGGAGGATGGAAGAAGAATAGAGGGAGTGAAGGGAGAGAGAGGTGGAGGATGGAAGAAGAATAGAGGGGGTGAAGGGAGAGAGAGGTAATGGGAAGAAAGAGTTACGAGAAGGAAAAGGGAAGAGAGAGGAGGAAAAGAGAGAGAAAGGTAATGGAAGGAAGAGGAGAAGCAGGAGAGGGAAGATGGAATTAGAGTTAGTGAAAGCGAGAGAGGAAATGAAGATAAAGGCAGTAGATGTATTCGTATTGATTATTCGATACACATCAAAGACAATTTAAAAGAGTGAGTGTAAGATAGAAAATAAAAAATCGGTTTATGAATATGTTTAAAAGGACGATAACTTTAAGAAACTGTGAGATGAATGACTTCCATTCTTATACTAATTAATGTAAGAATAAAAAGAAAATGTCTGTTAAAATCCGAAGAAAATATTTAACCGACGTTGAGTTAATTTTAGTCAAGTTTAGATATCAATCAAATATCTTACTTTAATAGTTTTAATGGTTGAATTATTACAAGCACTGCCTGCTATGAATGATCTACAGGTTATATGAGTGAAGATTGTTGATTTGAATGCCATTCATTTATATTTATAGTGCACTTCATGCTTGTGTGTTTGTTGTAGATGTATATTTCATCAGTTCCCCCAAAAAACAAATAATGTAGCGAGTTTTTTTTTTTTTTTTTTTTTTTTTTTTTCTTCACTAAACCACAAGCCTTTTAACACACGTGCTGCATTTACCATGTATTCTTAAAGTTATAGACGATTGAATCCTGTTTTATAGTAGTTAAAGTGGTATTCTTCAAGTTTTTATATTTTGCTGTTGCGTATGTATGTTGTTCTTGCATTCAAAGTCTAAATATTTTTTTTACAGATTTTGCTTGCATTTACTCAAAGAGTGATTAATTCGGATTCATGTTATGTTGTTGTATTATTATTATTATTATTATTATTATTATTATTATTATTATTATTATTGTATTCTTATATTCTTATTTCTCCTAAGTTTACCAAACACTTCACTCCATTATCATCTGTGATTCATTGTCTTTTCTGTCTTCGCTCATTTCATCTTTGTATATAATAATATATGTTTACGTAAAAAGTGACACACTAATTTAGATTTGAGTTACGATTGAAGGTTTATTTTTTAACGCAAATCATTATCGAAATCCATTTCCATATTTTTTTCTTCGTGAACTTTCTAGAACGTATCCAAATTTTCGCGAACGGGGGAGAAATTACTGCAATTTGTCAGTAAGTAGAATAAATAAATAAATGAATAGATAAGCTTTTTAGAAATTCGTTTTAAGAAAATCCAAATAAATCTTGGAAAATGGTCATCTCTAGTTTAATTATCTAGATTTCGTGTCGGTTACTTTAGGCTTTTATTGATAATGTATATGTGTAGTAATTTAATCTGAATTCTCATGTCCAGAGCAAGTGTCTATACTAATGTCTCATGTGTATAAACGAATGTATATAAAATCAAATAAAACATTTATGTGAAATTGTGGATATTTTCCTTAAGAACCAAATGTTGTTTTGCCTCATTATATGCATGTACAGTTTACATACTCACCCCGTGAAGATTAATGTTAATCTGGCGGGAAGAATATGGATATTTGAAAAAGTCGGCTGTCAGGATTTCGCTTCATTTTATTATCAATACTATTATTATTATTGTTATTGTTGTATTTCTCATAAACATTGTTTTGGTTAAGGATTTTCAAGGCGAACACCCAAACCCAAAAAATGACTGCACACACACACATATACACATAAAGGTATGTGTATATACATAACATAATATATATATATATATATATATATATATATATATATATATATATAGGCAGAATGTTTAATTATTGTGAGTGAAAGCGTGGTCTTTATAGAAAAAAGAGAGAAACATGTGAAAAATACAAGATGTTTATAAGGGTGAGACCTAACAAGTGAGAAATGCTCGTTACAGTAATTGAATTACACAATTGAATGGGTTTACCATTGTCTAATTCGGTTTCCATCTTGCGGGTGTAGAGAGATTCTGAGAAAAGAAGTAATTCAGTTACCATCGACCATTTCTCACTTGTTAGGCATGTTTCACTCTTACATATACGTTTTTATTTTTCTCTCTCTCTTTTTATATAAAGATCACTCGACCTCCTCATCTCAGAATCTCTCTCCATATTCATACATATGTATACATATGTACAAATACACACTTGTATATATACATGCTTATTCATGCATATGATACACACACACAAATATATATGTGCGTGTGTGCGTGCATGTGTGTATGCATATATAGAAGGACAGATAGATAGGAAGATATATACATACATACCTGCATACACACACACACACACACACACACACACACACACACACACACACACACACACACACAACACACACACACACACACACACACAACACACACACACACACACACACACACACACACACACACACACACACACACACACACACACACACACACACAACATATATATATATATATATATATATATATATATATATATAATTATATATATAATAATTATGAAAATGAAGGGGCAGAAAGTTTCGGTTTTCCTCGAAGAACGACCAAAGGTTACAAGGAAAGAAAAAAAAATAATAAGATATAGATATTATTGACATACGAAGTGTGTCAGAAACTCAATTATATGATGCATGTACAATTACTTGCACAAACACACACACACGCGCGCACACAGAAGCCAGTTCTTCCATGATTAGTCACAATAATAATTTCAGAGAAGAAAACGGAAGTAGAAGAAAATTAAGCAAAGCAAACACACAAGGCAGACAATGGCAGATGACCAAATGCAGTAAAACAGGAGCTTCAAGAATAGAGAACAAATAAAAGGCTGATGAAATTGTGTCTTTTTGCAGAAAGTTCTGAGGTCAAAATTCCTGGTAATTTTCTGTTAGGTCCGCCTGTCGGACATCGACAACCAAATTCCCGTTGTTTAGTTAGAGAGAGAGAGACAGACAGACAGACAGAGAGAGAGAGAGACAGAGACAGAGACAGACAGACAGACATACAGAGAGAAAGAGAGAGAAAAAGAGAAGGAAAGAGAGAGAAAGGATGGCTAAGTTTACCCTCCAATTCTGAAGGGGAGACTTCAAAAGATTTTACGTATACCAATATGGACATTTAATTGAAATCATTATCCCAGTACAGTTTTCTCTCACCCATTTTTATTTAATATGCAACGATTTTTTTTTTTATACCACAGAATGGACTTTCCATCATTTCGGATACTTGATGGTATATATTTTTTATCTAATATATCTTATTGGAGGATCATGAACATCGTCATCACTATCACATTACGGATAGTTCATCTTGCTGAACACCGTGTTATGTCTGCAGAGGAATTCTAAGGAGCATGAGATCGCGGGGTGATGAAGTAGCCCCCCCCCCCCCCAAGTCCCCTGCTCGTTGTTGACTTAGTGGTTTGAGGAGACGGAGATCAGGCCCAAGGTATGGGATCACCCCTACCTTGGACCTCAGGCCTCTCTTCAACTAACTATACACGGTCTTTCCTTCTTCCTCCTCCACACGAGTTAACTAGAAATTGTTGACACAGGCCGGGCCATTCTAGAGAAAAGGCCCGGGCGAAGCATGTCTTCCTAAAGCTAACTGAATTGAACTTCCCCCTTCCTTTATTCATTCTTCATCTCCTGTCACATCCTAAAGCGTGGGAACCGTGCTGAAAGGATGAAAGGCGGGCTAAATGTCGACAATACTGAATTAGACAAGACTGATAAACCTTTCAAGCTGCTAATTAACCCGGAGAAGGTCGAGTAAGGGGGGAAGTGGAGCGAGTTCAAGTGAGAAACCACTAGATCAGGGTTTCCTAACCTAGGGATGTTTTCTGGGGCTATGAAGCAAAACACTAATTATGACTAGGAATGAAACTGGATACTGTCTCACATACAGTACTTACAGATAATTCTCTCTCGCATATCAATAAATTTGAATATTTCCTTGTGCTATTGTCCTATAGATATTAGCCTCATTACTCTATTCGCAAATAGCAGTAACTGAAAAGATGGAGAACCAGCGCATTAGATGGAAGTCAATTTTAAGGGACTCGACCTACGGAGAAATACTCCAGAAAATAAAATTATCTGTATTAGAAAATGAAACGATTAGCCTATACTTTACAAATACACATACCAAGAAAATTAAGCAGTTAAATATTTGTAATTTCCAAGAAAAGCAGAACGAAATGAAAAGTTAAGGAGAAAACGTGACGACAAAAAAATAAAAAAAAGAAAAAGAAAATTAATTCTATTTTCAGCGCAACTATCGATGACTCGAACGACCTTCCAAAAGAGACTTATAGATATATACAGTAGTATAAAAAAGATATTTAATAATCTATACATACCACATGGAACACCCGAAATACAACTGTTATGCCCATATTTAGATTAGGTAAACCTTGCATTCTCATTACACACATGTAATTTTTTTTTTTTTTATCTTTTCTATCAGTTTCCAGTTATCTAGTCGAAGGTCAATGTAACATCATAAAAAAATACCACATATTTTCTCTCCTTATGTAATCAGCATATTGAAAAAAAACGATAACTGATTAAAGATAACAAAGTGACAATCATAATATTTCAATGCTGGTTTATATCCATTAATATTGTTGCGTCTTTGAAAGGATAAAACATAATTGTATTTATGCTTCGATAGTGGTAACATAAGTGTTATCATCCTCATAATCATTTAAGTATTGTTGTTATCATTATCGTCATCATCATTATTATTGCGATAAAGACACTAGTGATATCATTGATACAATCATTATTAGTATCATTAATAATGTATATAGTGATGATAGTAACAATAGTGATAATGATAATAGTAATCATTCTAATGGTTATAATTAAATTGTTATTATCATTATTATCATCATTATTATCATTAGTATTAGTATTAGTATTATCATTAGTATTATCTCATCATCATCATCATCATCATTTCATTATCATCATTATTATTATTATTATTATTATTATTATTATTATTATAATATTATTATTATTATTATTG